CACTTGAATTTATCGAACATTCGCCGTCATTTCCGGAAATAACTGACGCACCTCCAATTATCCCCGGAGCAATGCATTTTAGTCAAGAAAACACTATAGCGCAGGGGTGTCAAACTTATCCGAGTGGGGCGGGCCAGATAACCCTCCCCTAGAGTTCCTGTATAGGCTTCCTAAGGGAGCCAGAGTTGCACGTCTGTTTTCCACGCGGTGCCGCGTCGCTATTCGCCGAGATCCGATCACGTGAGGAGCCGGATGAAGTGCCGTGCAAGAAAGTAGACGTTGCGCGCGCCCCGCCGAACGTTAACCTGCTTTTGAGCGCGCCGCACGCCTCGAACGCGAGGCGCTGCTATTTGCCGAATGGACTTCTTCCAAAACCGACGCGCCCCATCGCGGCGAAATACCACGCAGTGCACTCTGGGAACTAGTTGGCCACTCAGTTTTGGTTTCGACTGAGCAGCTTCATCTCATGCTATCACGCCGTGACCGAACGCGCTGCTTGCGTTTTCGATTATCTGACTTTTCACGAACATACAATACACTCATTCTCGAGCGATTCAAAACAAAGACCGGGGCACTTTTTTGGTTCCCGAAACACCGGATATTGTGCGTGCGTACACAAACGTATCGTGGCTTAGTCACCTCACCCCACGAGTGCGTGTTTGAGCTCAATTTCAATAATCCCGTCTAGTACCAGTGAACTAAAACTGAAATTTGTTCATCTGGAGCCTTACACGTATTTTGTTTGCCAAACGTCCGCTTCTTGTTACTTCATTGAGCGAAAAGCAAGCCGCATCCTCACAGGGTATCAAAGTTGAACACACCGTTTGCTCATGAACTTTTAAGGAAACGTAATAAATTCGACCTCACTACTGCACAGAAGTTACTATGATGGCTTCCTCGTGCCATCATATATCTCCCCCTCAAATTTTATGTTGATATAAGATTAACTTTTCGCAAACGCTGAAATCGGCTAGCTACGACGGAGGCCCTAACAAGCGTCCCTTACTCCTCGCTAAGCCTTTTTGGACGAGCTTTTACTGACGCCCAAGATCTGTGCCTGAACGGTGTGTCTGAACTTATCTCGGCATACTCAGATAGGAAGAAAGCAAACACATAACAAATATTATGGCCATTAGCAACCGCCAAACGCGCTTTGAATTCGTTCGTTTGGCGCACCCGTCCGGCGCACTTCCGGCGAACGGTGCGACATTCTTCCCACAAGTGCTCGACTTTTGCTTTCTTAAAACGATCTGTATGTGCGAATGTGCCTATAAGATTGCAGGATAACTTTATGCGCGTACGCGATGTTGAATATTAGTGGAATGCAAGCGGGTGGGGACTTCACTCCGTGCAGTGCTGCGGTTCAGTACAGATAAGAGATAAGAAGTGTGTTAAAATTGAGCTTTTCAATGGCGCCTCCTAGTTTTACCTCACGTACTCAGGCATATTAAGAAAAACAGTAATTGCCAAAAGTAATATTTCGTCTATGGACGCACGAAACAAACAAACTGCCTGATCAACAACACTAATCTAAAGGCGCAGGCTCGATGTATGCATGTTGCTACGGCTTGTTGATTCGTACACAAGCAAGATCCCCGAGCTTCGCAGCGTCGAGATTCCCAGCACTGGCTCGTCCACATACCTCGGTTGGAACGCTAACAGGGAGGCTCAAGTACAAAAATACAGCAAGCATGTGTTAAGACAAGCTATACGTCTCAGGCTTGTGCTAAAGCTTCGAGGTCTGGCCACTTAGGTTAGTTTAGAGAGCACAAACGACGCTCTCGGGACCAGGAAACATGAGATAACGGCCGTTAATAGTCCACGCTCTGTGTATAATCTCTTGTCGACGTGTCGATCGAAACCGAAACCATGCCACCCTCCTCCCTGGCCAACTAGTTCCCAGAGTGCAACGCGCGCCGTGTTGCATGCAGGAATTTATGGAAGTAGCCTATTCAGTCACGTGACGAGCTGGATCAACATGCCATGCAGAAAAGACGGCGCTACGGGGATGAACGCGTAACTCTGGCTCCCGTAGGGAGCCTATACTGGAACTCCACCCTCCCCAAAAGGACGAAGGCCAACGGAAAAAAAAAGGGGGGGGGGGTGCAAGGTTTTGTTATTTTAAGGTAAAAAAGAACGATAAAAAAACACTTGTGTTTTATGTTGCAAGGCATCCTACTGTCCAGCAGACACCCCGTAAATTTTTAGACAAGAAACCTTGCTCTTTTTGCTTTTTGTAAGCTCATCGGTTGCCTTCCTTAGCTTTTATTTGCGTATACGACTACTTTGTACCCACAACTGATGTTCTAAAAAGATGTAAAACACCATCACACAACAGTACTGACATTCTTCATTAGAACGAGAGCAAGCACAGCATCATTTCCCTGTCGCACAAATAAAAAATGATCTTTGCTTTCCTGGCGATTTTAACCCGAAAGCATTAACTGTCCCATGGAGCGAAGCCGACGTTGTCTGTAACCGCCTGTGACAGCAAAACGGCACCCGAGTTCCGATTGGCTAAGAGCATAGCAACGTAGATACATCGTCACGGAAGCCGTGGAGCCGGCGGAGGTGCCGCGCCTGCGCAGTGAGGGAGCGTGCCGTCACCGCCGGAGCGCCGTGTGACCAATGAAGACGTGGCGCGCTGCTTGCAGGAATGCACTTCGTGTAGGAAGCATTCCTACACGCAAACAATCTTAAATAACTTCGATTATTTTTTTGTGGCAACATTATAAGGAAATATTTTCATTTCAAGAGGCATTGACAGCCCGAGCTCATAGCTCTATCTTTGACTTTGGCCGTTGCTCCTGCTGAACTAGAGTTCGTGCAGCCGAGGTGCCTCCTTGAGCAAAGAGCTCGGACTTGTGTAACCTTGTAGTTGTATTGCCGTTCCGTTTGATTTACATGAGAAAGGGCTGACAGCACATATGTAGACCAAGCAATACTTCTTTAAAAAAATGAAACAGAATAGTGCAAAATGCGTGAACAGGGTAGAGCTCCCTTTTGAGTGGAAATGAATCGACAATATAAAACTAATATTTATGGCGCATATGGTGCTGGAGGCTTTGGGAACGGGGGCTTGCAGCCGCGGGATGCTTGTCGGCACATGCCAGAGAGTCGCGGCCCACGTGTTTGGAATCCCTGGTGTTGGGTAATGAAAGGGCATATTGAGAGATTGTGTTAAGAAGTAGGAAGTACTTCTTTTTTACTTTCAAAGTACATTGCATTGATTGTACCTTATTACAAGTCCATTGGACCCAGGTGTACTTACTACTTTACTTGAAGTACATAACCTCTAGTATACGTCGTACGTTAATTCAAACATCTTTTAGATACACCTTACCTAACACTGGTGCTCGGACAGCACTCGATTTAATTTCCACAATTGAATATCGTTATTATAAGATAATAGGGAGTTTTAGGGAACCGTTTTTGCACATACGATACGGTGCGATGGGCCCTCCGGTACGAACTGCTCATATGCTTATCTTCTCCGGTAGCGCGTGCGCAGTTGGTACAGGAGGGCCCATCGTACCATATGGGATGTGCAAACACGGTTCTGTAAAACTTTTTATTTTCGCGACTACGACAACGATACGATACCCGTTCCTACGTCGAAATGTTTGCCGAAGCAGAGGTTGGAAGAAAAAGTCCACACGTATCGTCGAAATTCATCACCAGGCTGAAAGACGGACGGCAGTGCACGTGGCCATTATCACCCCATCTATCCTCACCAGCAACCGTCGAGATGGTTGTTTACCAAAACGCAACATTGAGAGTCTTTAGGAATAGTGGCATGATCATCAGGTTTCAGTTCCTACCAACCTCTTTAGTAGCCGACGTGATCATATGGAGTTGGGTATAAACTAAGGGGCGTTAGCTATTTCATAAACCAATTGTAAACAATGTTATGCAGTTTTTACACGTTAGAAATATTTTGTGCTATGTACTGTCAGTACACTGGATATAAAAAAAAATATCTGTTTATCTGAATACACATAAAAATGACAGACTACGTCTTGCCCAGGGAATCCGATGGAATGACGCATGCTCTTGCAAATGTAAAAAAAAAATGGTTCGTGCTTCGCGTATTAACTCTGCACAGAATAAATAGAGAGGCAATAAGCACCACTTGCGTTATGGCTAAACGAAAAAAACTGCTAAAATAAATACAGTAAAATGAAAGACGCTTGTAACCCCCTGTAACGCCGAATTAGAGCGCAGCTCTTAAGGAGGAAAAGGGGAAGGTACGGAGAGGGGGGCATAGCCCTCCTCCTCTACCGTACCCTCCCTTACTCCTCTCCAGCTCGCCTCCCATTTAGGGGAAAATTTTTTTTTTAATTTAGCAAAAAAATTTTTGCGCTTAATTTAGCGGGGAAATTTTCCCGCTAAATTTAGCGGGGAAAGTTTTCCGCTAAAATTAGTGGGGAAACATTTCCACAAAATTTAGTGGGGAAAATTTTAAGCTATTGTTAGCGGGAAAATTTTTTTCACACAAATTAGCGGGTAGTTTTTTTCGCTAAATTTGGCGGTACATTTCTTCCGCTAAATTTAGCGGGGGAAATTTTTTCCGCTACATTTAGCGGGGAAATTTGATCGCTAAATTCAGCGGGGAAACTTTTTCCGCTAAATTCAGCGGGGAAATTTACCTTAAAGCAACGCGCGGTGACGTCATCTATGCCGTCACTGGTGACCTTCGTGACGTCACGTGTGACGTCATTATGGGAAAAGTCCGATAATGCACCGCGCGGTTACGCCGACGGCGATGCCGACGCCGCTCAAGCCGGAAACAGCCGCCTACGAGCTGCGCTCTAAAACAAATGCTACAATTTTGATACAGAGTTGTGGCATGCGCTTAGTAAAGCAAAAATGTACGATAAATAGCTTTATGAAAAATATATAAAACAGGGCTAGGTGTCACATAACTGGTACCCGCCAAAAAAAGAGTTCGAAGACAGACAGAACATTTCCTTGTGACTTACCAGACCGCCTTCGGGGCAAACGTCATGTGGCATCCGCAGCGTCTGTTTTGGATCAATGCATGTCACGTTGCATGATGAAAGGCTAGAAGTAGCACCCTGCAATGCATTGACATATGATGTCAGAAATGAAATTTTAAATAAGACTGTGTCCGTTAAAAAAACAATAAAAACAATAAAAAATGTTGAAAAGGGTGGATTGAAAGGCCGGCCCGCCAGCAGAGAAAAGGAAACGGACCCTGAATTTCCTTTTCGCCAACCCTCCCACAACAGGGAGAAGGAAATCACCTCTTGATTTCTCGTCGCCATTTTGTAACCTCTTTTTTTTTTTTTTTTGTTGACCGCCTGCTTGATTTTTTTTTGTGCAAGTTTGGTAGGTAGAATGAAAGTTTAAAAGTAAATTCAGAACAGAATAAAAATTTCCTCTCCTCTTTTTTTTCACCGTGCCTTTTATTTGTAACGCGCAAACGATTCGTTTCGTCAACAAAAGACTCATGAAAAAAAAAAAAAAAAACTTTCAGCTTTTCCATTTTGGTGAAGAAGAAAGACCAGCGGAGTTGTACAATGGAAAGTAATGGCCGACCGCAAGTCGTCAAGCCAGAGTGGAATTGCTGACGCCCTCTATGAGCGACGGCGGCAACCAGATACGTGGCTTGCCGCCGTCGCTTCGGTGATGTTCACTGAGTGGGTCACCAGTCTTAGAACATTCCCCCTGGCATAATCTTTATTCAGTGGCATTATTGATGTTCACCAGTTAGCTTACCAGCTCCATAAATAGCGTGTCCCCCCCCCCCCCCCCCCCCCAAAAAAAAAAAAAAAAAAAACATTTACTGCGTTTGTTTCACCGCGAAAATAAACGACGCGTTGCCGAACGCTCAGTTTCCACCCAAATGTAGCGCTAGCGGTTCGAACCTGATGCCAATGTTTCAAAACTACTCTAAGCAAAAAAAGCTTTTCCCACATAAAGCCCTTCAGAAGTTTCGAGTCCAGGGCCGGCTTGCTCAAAACAGCGTCTCGGCTGCGAGTTGGTGAAAGAAAGTACTGCCAGAGCCAGCGCACGAGCTGAGCGGGACTCAAACCGCGTCTCATGGCACTCGCGTGCCCCTGCCTTTGCAATGCTTTCTTTCACCCAGTCTTAGCTCGGACGCTGTTGCTAAGAAACCGGCTTAGGTGTTTTCACCTACCGTTTTCGAGCTTGCCCAACTCCTCGCTCCACCTGATACTAGTATAAATGACGATAGAGAAAGAGCGCCGTGTATTTTCGCCTTATGTGCCCCTGTGTTTACGAAATGTGTCACTAGTTTGGTAGCAATGCGAGTGTTTCCTGAAATATTATGGGTTTTCATTCCAAGCACAGGTGTTTAGTAAAAACGGGATTAAATGATTAGTCTTCGCATTATAAAAAGGAAACTATAGCTTTGAATTATCTAAAGATATCTCATTTCTATTTGATTGTTCCCAAGACTTACATTAGAGCCGCTGAGTTCACACAATATCTTCACCGCCGGACCAACTGCATTCCCGCAGTGAAATAAATTCATGTGTCTACTCCCAGACAAAAATCCCACTGAAAAAAAAAAAAAAGGTTATGAAGATAAAACCAGGCAAAGTGATTATGAGTTTAATATCGTTTAGACAAGCAAACAAAACGCAGATAATATTCCCTGGAGAAGAGCAACAAGGGGACAACAGACAAATACATATCTCCAAGAACAAAAATCTCCAAACACAGTTTGGACATTTGTCTTTGCCCTTTGTACCCCTTGTTTCCCTTCTCCAGCAATTACGATCGTTATTCTTGTCCAGCTCGCTTGCACCATTGCAATAATTGCATTACCTTAGCAAGCACTGTGCGCTTGTTTAGCATTGCGTAAAATGCAGGCACCTTTCTAAGATTGTAGGCACAAGTTCGCCTAATTAAACTTTGATATTAAGTTCTACTTTGTTAATCCCTACCATAAAATCCGGTATAACTTTTCTCTATCCGGATTATGGAACCGGAAATTTGTTTCTGGAAACCCGAAATCCAGATTGCAGACAAAGGAATAATTTTTGAAAACCTAAATTCCAGATAGAATCCAGTTGGATTTCCGGTTCCATAATCCGGATAGCGAAAACGTATACCAGATTTTTCGGTAGGGATCCTTTTTATTCGCGACAATAATCATTTTATTTATAAAAATAAAATTATTGGCAGATTTTCAAATTGGGCCGTCTGCTCAAAGCATTCGGCGATATCGATCAAAATTATCATCCCTTATTTTGTAGCAATACACATGAGGTGCATTTCTAATACCTGATTGCTTAACCCTCTCTACAACTTTTAAAACCGCAATGCCCCGGGAGGTCGCAACCGCTTCATTTGCGACATCAAAATAATCCAATTCCCTAAACGCATGTAATAGACGAAAGATTAGTAGTTTAACAGTCCAGACTGTGTGAGACTCTTAAAGGTGCCCTGAAGAGGTCTCTGAGATCGCCTTAATATGGCGATACCTCACTCTGCTGGCTCTAAGCATTCTAGAAGTCCCTAAATCATTCCGATACGCGGCACATTTTCCTATTAAAATTGCATTCAAAAATTGCAAAGAACCGAGGTCGTCCACGAGGATGTTCCGAAACCAGGACCACTGTTATGGGAGTAAATAAAATGAATTAAATTGAATTGATTTGAATTGAGCTGGTCAGCCAATAGGAAGCAAATAATGTGGCGCCTCCGACCGGTGGAACCGCGGAATTGATACCTGAATTCGTGTGGCTCGTTGCCCATACAGCCCAAACTACGACTCCGCCCAGCGAGAGCTAACCACCGGACACATCACTACCACTAAAAAAAAAGAAAAAAAAACATTGTGCGTTTTTTTTACACGAATATTGTAGTATTACGTTCCCACTCCGCGCAAAAAACAACAAAAAAAAAACAAAACATTATCGATTATTCTTATATTCTTTCATCATCTACAAATGATACAAACATTTTCTACTATCAGCGTTGGCAATCTCAATGAAATGTCAGTTTTCATTGGTCACATGTCGCCCTGGCTGCCGGAACAAGATCCTCTCCCATCGCCGGAGATGATTTCGGTGTGTTCGATCTTTGATTGATTTTAAATAAGGAAATTGGCCACGGATTTTTATGTTTCATAGAGTTCAAGAATGTTAGAAAACGCACATGGAGTTCTCGCCGAATTTAGGCGATCTCAGAAACCTCCTCAGGGCACCTTTAAATGCTATGCGATGCAGTGACTTAATTCCTTCTGTTCAGATGGGTATTAACACAACCTGTTACAACCTGGTCAGTCAACTGACGCTCTGAGCTTTAAAGCACCGGTTGCAATATTAAACAACGCCCAAAGAGCGCCGGTGGCATCCATTCACAGGTGTTTCTTACAAAAGTAAAACTGGCGAAAATATTTCGAGAGAAATCAGAAACACTTTGTTCAATATCTGCATCTTTAGTATGACTTACCGCCTTGAAATGCCGGTAGAATAAGCACCACGGCGAAAAGTACGAGCAGCATGTTGCTGATATTGCGACACATAATCAGTCTAACAGGAACGTCCTCCTAAAAGAAAAATAATAACATAAATATAGCCTCGACACTCGACAGCACAATTTTGTTTATGGAATGCAGACGACACATGCAAAGAGTTTTTTTTTTAACAGCTTAGATGGAAAAAGGATGTCATAAAACAATTTTACAACGAAGGAAGAACATTTTTAGAGCTATATTTACGGCGCTATACGAACTTGTAGTTGGCGCCCGCGGGAGCCGCGGAAAAGTGGGCCTTATTTATCACATGACTGGCCCATATTTGTCACGTGGTGCTTGCGCTCTTTCGGAAGCTTTCTATGACCTCTAAAAGTAACTTATTCATCTTTGTTTGAAGTATAACAAAAAACTAAGATTAATAAGTACCTTTTAGAGCCCAAAGGAAACTCCTGAAAAAGCACAAGCAGACGTGATAGACCTGTGCGCCGGTCAGATGACGGCGGCGGCGGCGACGGCGGCGTGGAGAAACGCGTTGAAGCGGCGTCGCACACCGCTCAGCGTGCGGCGGCGGCGTGACTTTGCGGCGGCGGCGACGCAGCTTGGCGGCGCGCGGGCCTACCACGTGACCAGCGGCGGCTCCCGCGGGCGCCAAACACAAATTCGTTTTGCGCCGTAAATATAACCGATCATTTTAAACTAGAGAGAAGAACTTCCCCCCTCCGCACAAAAGTCTGGCTAAAGAACAAAAGGTTACGTGGCGTCGTCTCCAGACGCGATCGTTACGCACCCCTTCACTCCTCGCGCACATTTATCCTGATCAATACAACCCAAACTGTGAACACTGCAGCCAACGAGCCAACTACGACCATATCCTATGGGATTGCAAAATAGAGCCACCCCCCGGAGGACTACTTACAAATCCTTCTCTAGAGCGGTGGGAGACCGTGCTTTCCAGCTCTGACCCCAAAACCCAAGTTCTGGCGGCGGAGTGGGCTGACAAAGTCGTCGAGGGCTGTGTACTCCTGACCACTTAACGCGATCTCTTAGCACCAAGCTCTTTTCGCCGAACAAACGTTTTACAATCAATCAATAGCTTTAAATCTCTTTTTCCTTCGTTGTAAATTCGTTTTATAATATTATTTTTCCATCTAGCTTGTTGAAGACAAAAATATTTTTTCTTTCCATGTGTTCTTTAACGGAAAGTTTCTGCGAAACATTAATGGTCATTTATTTTTATAAAGTATTCACCGTGTACTAATTATTTACCCCTGAATGAGTATACAAAATATCTCATCAAAATATTTATTTGCTATTGAGAAAACAACTTTTAAAAATTACGCGTTCGAATCACTAACTGCCGCTGTATTGGCAACACTGAGCAGCCATGGAATTGATTTGGACGTCAAATGTTGTAGTTAAGAGCAGACCCATCCTCCTTGTTGTGTGTTCAAGCAGTATGAAGTGTGCGAGAAAACAGTGGCGCCACGGTGCAGCTCCTCGCAGAACCATTTCGAAATGAACGTGACCTGGCATAGACATTCTGTGTAGCAACCAACCTTAGTTTCTAAGGTTTGTTTACCTTGGCACAGCGCTACGTTCGGGGGTGAACTCGGCGCTAACTTTTTTACACCAGACCTCGAACTTGAGGACGCATATCCTCGCCATGCGCCGGAAAAAAACTGTCGCGATCCTCTCAATTGCAGCACGTCTACGCAATCCGCCTGCGAGCGAAGAGCAATTAGATATTAAGAGGAACGAAAAATACTTCTCACGTAAATATAATCAATTACTGGCTCTGACGAACGTCGTCTCGTAGTCATTTGCAAACCGTCGAGAACACGAACGCTTCGCAAAGGCATATTCCATAGCAGGTAAAAGAAATAAAAAGATGGCGTCGTGTTGCCGCCGTTGCCGCTTACAACTGCGGGACACACATTTAATCTCGAGCCCCGAACAACTCCTGCGGCTCGAATAAAGTGAAAAAAACACAAAGAGAATGCTGGACCGGGGTAGGTTTTTGAATTTCAGGGTCTGCCACCTTTCCCCCGGAGCGAGATCGAGAAACACGACCCGTGGAGTAATATACACACGGTAAAGAGCGGACACTACAATAGGCCCCAGCGGCCCAGATAGACGAGTGACAGCTAGCGCTCCTAGCGGCCGGCATTAAGTATAATCTAGTTCCTGTTCCGGTCAAGTCAGTTTCGGTTTCAGTTTGGGCGTTTCTGCTCCGGTTCTCTGGTACTTTTTTCCTTCTCTCTTCTTCCCTCTCTTTCCTTCTCGCCTCGCTCCTTGCTAAGCTCTCGGGTGCTCCTCGGCTCCTGGAGCCGCTGTTTCTTTTTTTTTTTTTAATGTTGACGCAGTTTTATTTTAATTTTTATGATATAATCCGTGCAAAATATGTAAAACAAAATATCTACTTCAGAAAACAGACGTGTATATCTTGTTTGTTTGTTTTTTTTGTTGTTTTTTTTGTGTAAAACATTGAAGTTACACAATCTCCACATTGACTTCTGACTAGTTGAGCATTTTGGGATCAACAACAGTACGTGGTTCGAAAACATTTTATTGGACCACATTCGTATATACATGATTTACTTCAGACGCTCTGTATGTTTTAAAGAAGCTGATACTAATACTCACAAAAATAAATGAATATGAAGGAGTTCGGCATATCGTACACTTCGTAATAGATTTTTTGCGGAACCAAGTTAACAAACTCTTTCCACTGGGAACATGCTGAATGATCCATTCGCTTTCACGCCGACTCGGGCACGAAGATAAATAAGACACATCGCTATCATTACCAGTCATACAAGTATAATAAGAGTGCAAAGCACACAGCGAAGAGTGCAAATTCCCGATTTCCGGCTAATATAAAACGCACGAATCGACACAGCCCGAAACACACTGCGGGCGAGCCATTATCAAACAATGAGAACTCTATTCAGAATCCGACAAGATTCAACGTCCCTAAACATTCCTCGAAATACATTTCATCAGAAAGGAAGCGTGGCTTGAAAAAGCCATGCATTGCACTCCGACAGCATAAGCATTCCTTCTCCCTCCTACTCTGACGCGCGCACCTTTTATCTTCATGTTTTGCTTTTTTTTACGCACGCTGTCGACTGTAGCGCCGCCTGCATCGGTGCAAGATAGCAGGCGGCATTCTTCAGAGGATGGCGCTACTTTCCCGTACAAAGCGGCTTTACTCAGGATGGGTTCGCGGCGCGCCCTTTCGGAGAAAGAAGACTGGCTGCGAAAGGAGCGGCGACGTACGCAGCAGCGCGAATGGGTCCGCAACCACCGCAAAGCCGCTGTCGCCTCGACTTCCACTGCGTCCAGCGCTTCAGATTCCCTTGCCAAAGAAGAGCACATCGCTCGCCTGGAAAGCCGCCGCCGAGAACAGAGCCAGCGATGTTAAGGGCGCCGGCGGGCAAACGCCGCGGACGACGATCGTGCCACGGAGGCCAAGAGCAAGCGCGAGGCCCGGCGACGACTGCACTCCATGCAGGCTGAACTAGGGTGCCTACATGCATCCGCTCAGAGCGGCGGAAACATGTAGGCACCCTAGGCTGAACAGTTCCCGGGCGCGACGGCGAGGTTCCGGAGGGAGTTCGTTGAGAACCCGTTTGGCGTCACGTGCGTCGTGTGCGACCGACTGTGGTTCGTTGGAGACGTATCCACGATCGGCAGCGCGTCGGACAAGAAGAAGCGGGAAACGGGCCCGTGCGCGTTGCGGCAGTCTACCGAGCACAGCTCCGCTGGTCTTCCTTCTTCAGAAGAGTGGAAAGGCTGAACGATTTTTTTTTTACTCTCTGTTTGTAAAGTTTAAAGTTGACTATGTGCCTTCCCGCGTCGGAAACCTCAGGGTTTACATTCTGTCTATACATGATTCTAGAAGCTTCAACCAACGAACCTTACCGTTTTCTCTGGGTAAAGGACATTCCCAGCTACAGAGCTCGACCGACGTGTTCAGCGATAAGCTGCTATACTGTAATACTGTTTAGTCTTTTTTTCGGGTTGCCCACTTGCTTTGTCGCCATAGATACTCAGGTTAGAAATGAAACGAGGCTGTTTAGAGGTTGTTCTACACGTTACTCCTCGAAAGTAACGAAATAGCCTTACTCGTTACTTTGTTTTAAAAGTAGCTAGCTACGATACTCGTTACTTTTTGAAAAAAAAGGAAACTAAGTAGGTTACTTGTTACCGAAAAAAATAACTATGTAGAAGCAACTTATTACTAGTAACGCATTGGGTACATGTCTGGACCAAACACCCCAGAAAGCAGGTAAAAAAACGAAGTACTGAAATGTCTGAAGTTTATGTCGGCTTTTTCACTTTCAGTGTTGGGCTTTTTATCATGGCCAAATATACAACAGCTCGTTCGCGAACTTAAATTCAGTTCATTAACATAGGTTGCCGTTTTATTTCCTCAGCTATCCGAGAGAACTCCTTAAAAATACATAGCGCGTGACCTACAGCAGTCCGTTATTCAAACGAAGAGTGTTATGAATACAATTTCACGAGCACAAATTAAACTCTAGGCGCCTCTAACAGCGTGGCTTTGCGACAAAAACTAAAACGAAAGCGTTGCAATATTGAGGAAAACTTACGTAAGGCTTTCTTGCTTCCAAAAACTTGAAGGGGCAATTGCTGTTCTGAGGTATGGAAAGTTTGCTGACTTATTTATATCCCAGGTTGTAGGCGTGTTCCTTCCAACGGGCAGTTCCGAGAGAATTTTCTCGCCAATGGTAGCTTTGGAAGCAGGTGGGAGGAGACAAAGACTGCACATGTCAACTTTTCCTTTAACCTCGTCTCAAAGAGCATCTTGCCGCCCTTGAAAGAGAAAAATACAGCAAGATGCGAAAAGCATCTGGCCGCCCCTGAAAAAGAATATTACAGCAAAGACTGTGCGTCTACATATGCATTTTTTTCCGCAGTCTGAATTTGCGTAAAGTTTTTGAACCGTGTTCTTCGAATATTTTCGGAAGAAGAGGACGATACACCTCTAAGAGATAATATTCTACGTGGTGTGCACCACTTAG